CCTGCTCCTCCTCCTCCTCCTCCTCCTCCTCCTCCTGCTCCTCCTCCTCCTCCTCCTTCTCCTCCTCCCCCTCCGCCTCCTCCTGCTCCTGCTGCCCCTCCGCCTCCTCCTCATCATCATCCTCATCCTCCTCTTCCTTCTCTTGCTCCTCCTCATCCTGTTCCTCCTCCTCCTCCTCCTTCTTCTCCTCATCCTCCTCCTCTTCCTCCTCCCCCTCCTCGAGTCGTACATGTAGTGATGATTCGTAGATGGGGCAAGAGGCGTGTGACAGGCGCCGGGGCAAGAGCGCCAATCGGAACGGCCGAAGACGTTCCGATCTATTGTATGCGTAAGGGGCGCATCGTATTCTACGGCTTCGGAAAAACCAGGGCAGGGTCTGGGGATAGAGGAGAGTATTATTCGTGATCCGTAGTTGTGGGGGAAAGAGAGTGGGAGGCTGGAGGGGACAGGGAAGGGGCGGAGGGGAGCGGGGAGGGTGAGGAGAGTGGAAGAGGATGGGGATGAGGACTAGACAACAGGGGGAGTGGGACCGAGAGAATGGTTGCGGAGGGCAGAGGAGAAGGCAACTGGGGGTCAGGGTAGGTACCATCCCTCCCTCCCCCTCCCGCTCTCCTCACCCCCACTGGTCTTTTCTCCCTGGTTCCCTTTTTTCCCTGCCCTTCTAGCCGCATCCTTCCGCATCCCGGCCCCAGCCCTTCATCGTGTTCCCCCCGCCCTCCCCCCGCTTCCCTTCCCGTTGCATCCCTCCCTCCCTCCCTCCGCCCCCGTTCTCCTCGCGGCCGTCGCCGCGCCGCCCGGCTCGCCCCCGAGAGCTCGGGAGACGCGTGCCGCAGGTCGCGCGCGCCCCACCTCCGAGCTCTGCGCTCCCCACCCCCTTCTCCCCCCTCCACGACGCGCCCCCCCCTCCCTCCCTCCCATCCTCCTGCTCCTCCTGCTCCTCCTCCTCCTCCTCCTCCTCTTCTTCTTCCTCCTCCTCCTCCTCCTCCTCCTCCTCCTCCTCCTCCTCCTCCTCCTCCTCCTCCCCCTCCTCCTCGTCCTCCTCCTCCTTTTCCTGCTCATCCACAGGCGTGCTCCACGCTGGGGTGCGCATTCGTTGTGCCCACAGATCTTCGCCCCTCCGTAATGTTTTTGCGTCTGCTGACGCGGTCTGCCGGGCTGGCGCTCTGGCCCCGCGGACGCGGTCCCCGCCGCCCGCGGGCCGCCCCGGCTGCTAGTGGCGGAAGTCTTCCGCCTCTGAGTGCTCGCCCTCCTCTCCCCCCCCCCGCGGCCGCCCTGCCCTTCCCTTTCCCTCCTCCTGCAAGCCGGCAATTTCGCTTTGTAGTGGCCCTGCATCGCTGCCACGCTGGAGCGGATTGTCCCGCCTCGTTGCCGACGGACAAAAAAACAGTTTTTGCGTCCCCCTTTCTTGTCGGGTCTGCCTCTTTGGAGGTAGCCGGCATCATTGAGGCGTGAGCAGGGTTCCCAAATTAGAGGGGCACGAAGAATGACATAAACATAACATTTGGAGATCCGCGCGGGTTTCTCGGATCCGCGCTGGACCCCCCTGGCGGCGCCTCCGGCACCGCCCCTGCCGCCCTCCGCGCGCCAGGGAGGCGGTTTCAGCACAGATCCAAGAAATCCGCGCGGCACAAAAGTTTATGTTTGTACAGTTGTTTCTTCTTCGAATCTCCTTGCGCCGGACGCCCAGGCCAAAAATGTAGCCCGCATCATTCAGGCGGGAGTGCGGTTCCTAAATAAGTTGAGGAAGTCTCAGGCGAAGCCGCCGCCAGAACGCTTCCAGTTGGCTCTTTGGCAAAGCCATACGATGCAGGGCTCCCTTCTCGAGCGGGATGGATTTGTGAGCGCCCCAGACAAAACCGAAACGGCGAAGACGCCCGGCGCGGAGAAAGTGCAACGCCAGAATCTCAGGGGAGGATGGCGGGGGCAAGCCCGTCCGCGGGGCCCTAGAGGTACCCCCTGGGACCCGAAAGGGGTACGACAGGTGCACGTTTCTTCCCCCCCCCATCCCCAGACCCCCGACGTCATGATTCTGTTCACGACGTCGACCGCCAGAGGTCTCGATCTAGTCCCCGCGACCAGTTCTCATCCCGAGCAGTACTTGGACGGCCCCGGGGGCCCTGCGAAGGCCCCCAAGCGGACGAAGGTAGCGAAAAAACTCCCCTCCAGATTTCTATGTGACCTGAGGGGTCTGGATTCATCGCCCCTCCCACTAAGTCGGGCATGTCCTTCTACAGGAGGAGTATTCAAAAATAGTAAAAAATAGTCTGGGGGCGATGTTTCTAGCATTTGTTTTATCCATTCTTTGATATGTTGTGACTCCGGTGGGGGCATTGGTTAAGGAATGTGCCCAGGAGGCTGCAGGCCCTGGAGGATTCCTTAGCTGACGAGGGCGGTGGCGATACCCCTGGCCGGTACACAATTGGAGTTCCACTGGCTTCCAGACCCCAGATTCCGTATCCAAGGCTTCCTTGTTCAATGCCTCCTCCGTATCTCAAAATTCAGGAGCGAAAGAAGGACGCACATGTACATGAATCCACGCTGGTTTCGAGAGTACGCATTGCGCAAATGTTCGTGTAACGCGGCAGGTCTCGCGGATCGAGGAGCCGCGTTCATGTACATAGCTGGGCGCGTACGTCCTTTGTGGGCTCCCTAAAAATCTCGTCCAAAATCCGCCTCTCAGAGGCCTCAGGGGTCTGCTTCGCCCCCGCCGCTCTCCCCGCCCCCCCGCCCGGGGCTCCCCTCGGCGCGGCCGGGCGCAGGACCTCGCCCCGCACCTGGTGCCGGTGCTCAAGGGCATCAAGGACGCGCCGTCCACGAGCTCACGCAGGGCGAGACAAGCCCAGACATGCTCGCGTCGTGGACAGATCAGGACGGGAGGTGTTTTACAGTTTTCGGCCTCTGGGGGCCCTTTTTACCGGACCGTCAAGAAACGAACCAAGATGAAAAGCTGGTCCTGGGGAATAGGTCGGGGGTTCTGGGGATCCCGCAATGAGCTCACGGAGGGCAAACCAAAACCAAGGCTGTTCGCGGGTCGGTCGATTCGGTTGCGTCGCAGTGGGTTGCGCTCGATCGTTATTGTGTCGTCGCCGAGTCGTTTCGCCCTTCTAGGCTGTTTTCTGGCCTGTTGATTTCTGTCGATTTCGGTTTTGCTGTCGGTTCGGTCAGTTTTCGGCCTTGTCACTGAGGACAAAAAACAGAGCTCACTGGAGGGCAAAGGGGTGCCTTCAGCGGATTAGAAGCTTCAGTGGAGCAGCCTGCCTTCGGTGAGAGGTGTGTGTGTGTGTGTGCCTTCAGGAAGTGCTCAGTGAGAAGGTGGGCCCCCTTAAAGCAGCAGGAGCGGCAGCATGGGGACGGGGGCGCCCCCTCGTTAGAAAAAGACAGGACGTGCACAGCGGAGACCCATACCAAGAAACACCCTGCTTGCCTCCAGGGTGCCCTGGGCTTCCTGTGTTTCCACGGTTTTGCTATGGACAGCGCGACGTCCCCACACCGAAAATCAATGGACGTCCTGGGGTCTCAGGGTTGGGTTTCGTGTGGAAGGCTCCTTGTGGTCGGGCCCCTGCTGCAGGCACCAGGTTGGAGATGTGGCGGGCGGCCTCATTGGGGGAACGCGCGGATGTCGGCCAGATCCGGGCCCCGCAGTGGCCCTAGAGCCTCGTGTCCCACGCTCTCTCCCATGCGGCCAGCGCCGGCGTCGAGCATTTCGGCCCGCACGCACATCTCTATAATGTGTATATGTATAACTAAGCATATAGCCAAACAGACATGCATATGCATGTGTGTAAACATACACCTGTATGTATGTGTGTGGAGAAATCTCTCCACGTATACGCACATGTCTATGCTTCACCGTATACATGAATATGCACATGTTTAAGCACACACACATGTATATGTGCATCTAGATTCTCACACCTACATATGATGTCATATTGGTCGTATTGGATACGTGTATACAAAATGTGTACATATATTTGATAGTATATCTATGTATGTGTAAACGGTTGTATGTGTGTAGATGGGGGTATGCATGCGTGTATGTAGGTATGTATGCATGCATGAGTGTATGTGTATAGGTATGTGTGTATGTATGCATGTAAGTATGTAAGATTGTATGGGTGCATCTATGTATGTATGTATGTGTATATGTATGTGTGTATGCATGTACGTATGCAGGTAGGTAGGTAGGTAGGTAGGTAGGTAGGTAGGTAGGTAGGTAGGTAGGTAGGTAGGGGTGTATGTATGGATGTATGGATGTACATATATGGATGTATTTATGCAGATATACTGGAGCATGCCGCCGCCGGCCCGGGACCACCACGCATGGCCAGTCCGGGGGGCCCACGAGCGCCCCCCGTGGCCTCCAGAGCAGCCCCGTGGGCGCACCGATGGCCCACAAGTCGGCACAGTCGGACCGAGGCGAGAAGATCGAGGTCGGCTCGGGGAGGGTACCCTAATGTGCTTCGTGTGTTTCGAGGCCATCTTGAACGCTCTCACCCCTCGCCCCCCCCCCCCTCGGCCAGACCCAGGAGGGTGAGGTTAGGGGAAGAAGGGGGGATGACGGAAGAGTCAACATTCGAACCCCCCCAGGATTCCCAGAGGTCCGCGCTGATTTCTCGGTTCGGCGTTGGGCCCCCTCCACAGCGCTCGGAGCGCGCAAGGGGCGGCGCCAGAAGCGCCGCTCGGAGTGTCCCGCCCAAATCCAAGAAACCCGCGCGGAAGCAACATAGTTGTTCCCCAATCAGTGCTTGCACTGAAGGGGTCCTAGCAGAAGGTAAAAGATTTGGCGAAAGTTTGCCGCCGATGTTGGTAGCAGGCTGGGTTCCCGGGCTCCCGGTTCAGGGTTCCCGGGTTCCCGATTATTGGTTCCGGGCCGATTTCGGTGGTTTCTGGGTTCCTGGGCTCCCGGGTTCCCGGTCGATCTCTTCAGCGAAAACCATCCATTGATTGTGGTTGTTCTTTGGTGTAATGGTGTATCTTGGGGAGGGCACCCTTGGATGTTCTGTGTGTTTTGGCCGGTGGAGGTTTTCATGTCCTTGAGGGATGTTGTTCTGTCTCAGGTCCAGCTGTACGACAGTCTACTGGACCGGCCCATCACACCCCGAGAGCGCCGAAGATGGCTTGTCCACGGCATCCGAAGGCTTCCGGGCTGCGCCAGGACGGCCCCGCGCGGGCTTCAGTGGGCGCCCGAGGCCCCAGACGTGCGCCCCGAGAATCAAATGTCGTGGAGTTACACGACGTTGTTCAATGTTTTGAGTTCTCCACTTTTCGAGTTTTCGGTAATCCAGGACGGCCCAAGAGGCTCCCCAAGGCGGCCCAAATGGGCCACGACAACCCCAAGAATTGTTCAAGAGTGCGAGCACGAACCGAAAATCGGAGTCTTCACACCAAGAGGCCCCAAGAAGGCCCCGAGAGGCCCCCACGAGGCCCCAAGAGGCCTCCACGACGCACCAGACGGCCCCAAAACGGCCCCTGAGAGGCGCAAAAACAGTTCCCAAGAGGCCCTCGAGAGGCCTCCCGCGACATCCCGCCGAGCATCCTAGAGGCTTGTTGTCCACAACACAGGCACGATGGCGGGGTGAGCCAATCGCCATTCTGGTCTCTTTCGCAAACCTTCTACGATCCTTCTCACCCTCCTTCTCGTGACCTTCCCAGCTCCTACCGTTTCTGGTTTGTTGCCTCACAACTCCTCCGTCTCACTTCCAAGCTCCGCCTCCTCATCCCCCGTCTTAGGACGTTCGAAAGTTCCGCTGGAACGATTTTCGGGCTTTACAGCCTCATATGGGTTACCCGACGACTCTCCACCGCACATACCAAAACCATAATGTGACCAGAGAGTTTTCTCGGAACATGATTGCCGCCGCCAGTCCGAAGAGGAGACCAAAGCGGAGGATGTGGAGGAGAGGAAGACGGCAAACGTAGGCAGTTATTGAGGATGATACTTAGGATAATGGTGACGATGAGAATGAAGATGATGGTACTAGCGGGCTCCAAGACGGCCCCAGGGGCGCCCAAGACGGTCCAGTATACATATAAATAGTTGCAGACATACACGCAAACACACATATGCATACATCAAACCATCCATCCATACCTACATACAAGCATACATACAGGCATACAGACATACAGGCATACAGCCATACAGGCATACCGACATACAGACAGACAGACAGACAGACAGACAGACAGACAGACAGACAGACAGACAGACAGACAGACAGACGGACGGACGGACGGACGGACGGACGGACGGACAGACAGACAGACAGACAGACAGACAGACAGACACACAGCTATGCATACATACGTGCTTGCACGCATACATACATCCATGTATATGCGTATGTATGGTCATGCATAGTCAGAGAGAGAGAGGGAAAGAGAGAGACCCAAAAAATGTGTGAGAGAGAGAGAGAAAGTACAGAGAGAGAGAGAGAGAGAACAAAAAGAGAGCGATAGAGAGATAGAGAGAGAGAGTGTGTGTAGGCCGTGGGGGGGGGGTCAGCGCTGCCACAGTGCCGCATGGGAGGCGCGGGGGGCCCTGGACGTCCCCGAGGTTCCCCATACGGCTCCGGACCGCCTCCTCGCGGAGCCTCGTCCCTGCACGCCACCTCCTGCTTCGAGACGGCCCGCGAGGCCTCCAGGAGGACTCCAAGCTGCCTCGCCGAGAGAGCCCCCACTGGCACAAATCGCTGAATGCCTATAGCTTTGTCGAAGAACTTCCTGTTGTCGCCTGCTCCGCTGCCCGACGCCTGGAGACGGCATGAGACGCGCCCAAGGGAGCCACAACGCACCCCACGAGGGCGCCAAGACGGCCCAAGACGCGCCCCAGATAGCTCAAGAGGCCCCGAGGTAGCCCCGAAATTAGCTTGGACGCCACACAGAGGCCTTCGAGGGAACCCGCAGGGCGCCATAGCGGCCGCAGCGCCCACCACTGTTTCAAGACAGCCCAAGAGGCTTTGCACCCGCCCCAAGAGGGCCCCGAACTGGTTTCCGAGAAGGCCCTAATAGGCAGGCATCATTGATTTCGCTGTGGTGCTTTCACAGATTTTGCCGTCGTCGCCTGCCTGCGTCTCCCTCGCAAGAGACGTATCGACGAGCCCCAACAGGAGATAGAAGCGTGAGCCCTATTCCGCCGCTGTTCCCTGAATCCTTCCTGCCTTCCCATTTCCTTCGAAGACGGGCCCATGGGCATCCCAGATGGCCCCCAGCACGGCCCAAACCATCATGTTCCCAGAACCAGCATGGTCCCGGAGAGCCTTCCGGGAACCTGCTTGTCACAGCCAGCCGGAAGAGGAAGCGGGGGACCACGAGGGGAGGAGGGGCACGGAGGCACGGGACGAGGGTGAAAGTAACGAGGAGGAGGAGGAGGAGAAGGAGGAGGAGGAGGAGGAGGAGGAGAGGAGGCGGATGAAAACGAAGGAACAGGAGTCCCTGCTCATGCGCTGGTCCATCCCTCGCTCACTTTCCCGCTCCCTCCTTTTCTGCCTCCCCTGCCTCCTTACTCCCGTTCTTCCCGACGTACCTCCTTCCATGCCTCCCCTCTCCTTCTCTCCCTCCTTCCTTCTCCCCCCTCCGCGATCACGACGACGACGCCGACGACAACGTCGACGTCGTCGACTCCATTCCCGCGTTCGTGGCCTCCGGGATGGCGTGCCTGCACTGGGATTGGATGAAGATACAGATGATGTGGGCGAGGTTGCCGGAGTGCCAGAGTTGACTAGAACCTAAGCGCGTGTGGGTGGAAGGATGCCGATGCATATATATATATATGTATACACCTGCGCTTAGGTGGCTTAGTTTAGTCGTCTTTACACTGTCTGCATATATCTATGTGCACGCTTACAATGTTATTCGTTATTTCTATGGATGCATGCATACATGCATGCATACATACATGCATGTGTCCATCCTTACAAACCCAGATAAAGCTCACTGCGGGGGACGCAGGCTTGCGCCCTCCTTCCTCCACGGGGGAGCCCGAGACCCAGGGATCTTCCAATCGCGTCCCAGGCGGCCGCCAAGACGGCCTCAAGCAGCACTGCGGGCCGCCGAGACTGTCCGAGATGGGTCAAGATGGCAGCACGAACGTGCAGCAGTTCTATCCCAAGCAACAATCTAGGCCTCTTACATGGGGTCGGAGTAGATGGGGTCGGAGGATCGCGCCGCATCGCCGATGCGGCTCGATGTGAAGCCCGATTCGCTCCACGTCGACGTCGCCGATGCATCGCCCACGTCAACTATGCATCGCCGGTGCATCGCTGATGCATCGCGGGTACATCGCCGATGCATCGCCGATGTATCGGCGATGCGGCACGATTCTCCGACCCCCTCTACTCCGACCCCATCTAGGAGGCCTCTAAACAAGGGATCTGTGTTGCATCGATTTGTGCGCAGCAGGTGCCTGAAATATCATCATGGTTATATGTGGGCTCACTTGAAGGGATAGTGATCCTCTTCCTCTTCGGCGGGGCCAAAGACGCCAGACCCCGAACAGCCCCCACGAGGTTTCCAACAGGGCCCCAGGAGGCCAAAAGCCTTCAGACACCCAAGGAAGACAGGTTCTTGAAGATGTCGCCCTTTCGCTTTCGATGGGGCTCTGAAGCGTGTGGATGGCCCCAACACGGCCCGTGAGAACTCCACATGGAGCCCCAAACGGCCCCACGATCTCCTGCCAGCCCCTGGTTCTTAGAAGGCGCGGGCCGCGTCTGTAGATGTAGGGCCCGCACCTTCTAAGAAGCAGCCTGCGTTTAAGAAGTCATCACCCTTCCCCCGACCCCCCGTGTGCGAGCCGCCATGTAATAAATCGAATTGGTTCGGTCGTTTGCTGGGCCAACGTCTTGCACATGCATGCTGCCACTTGCTCATGAGAGCGGTCCGTGCCTATGGCAGAGCTTCCGCTAGCAGCGCACCGTTTTTCGCGCGTTTGTTTGGGATCTCCGTCAGGAGCATAACGGCAGAGGTTGCGTTCGGGACGAGTGTTGGTGATCCCGTGTTTGCATGCGATGTTGATGATGCTTCAGGCTTCTGTAACAAAAGCACGGCGTGCACTTCTCGGGCTCTCTGTGTGCCACTGACGGGCAGGGACAGCGTTGGAGCTACCTCTTTTGAGAACTTCGGGCACCGTAGGTAGAGGCCCCTAGGAGGCCCGATCTGTGTGAGGGGGCGTCCCAGTCTCGGTTAGGGTGCGCTATTCATGCCAATCATGTTTTTATGTGGAGCTGGTAGGTGGCGCGGTCCCTGGGGGGGAAGCGATCCGTGTGAAGAGGGTGCTTGGCGTGGGGACGCTATGCGATCGCGCCTCCGTTCTTTCTCTCCCTCCTTTCCTCCTCACTCCACCCTCTACTGCCTGAGTCTTGTTGCATCATTCCGCCTGAATAGTTGCTTCTCCCCTTCCTCTTCTTACTCGATCCTCTCTCCCCCCTTTGTTTACGAAAGAGATCCAGTGGCATTTGTCTGGGTTTCCCGGGTCGGTCCTTGGGTTTCTTTGTCTTTGGGATCTCTGAGTTCGCGGGGTTATTGGGGTTCGATCGGTTATTTGCAGTGCGTTGCGTTGCATCGCGTTGCATTGTTGTGCGTCGCATGTGCGTGTGTATTGCATCGTGATCTACATTGCATTGGTTTGCATCACCCTGACGTGCTTTGAATTGTACTCCGCATTGCCTTCTAGTGTCTTCGCTCACTTCTGCTTGCAAGACTTTGCGTGTCATTGCCCTCGCGCCCAGTTTCCATGGGATTGTGCTGCATTGCGGTGACATTGCGTTGATTGTATTTCTTTCATTGCTGTGCATTTCTTCGCAATGAGTTGTATGGAAGCGTCCTTGCCTGTAGTTCGTGTCTGTTCGGTCCACGTTGATACTGGTTCACCATGTTCGAACCATTTGTGGGTAACTACTTTCGTGGAGTCGTGAGCTTCTCCAGGGCGTGGGTGTCCTAGAACCCGAGCGCGCGAGAAGCGCGCGGGGTTCCAGCTATTGCTGATGCGATTTGATCGCACACTCTCTGTCTGAGTTCTGCTACTCTGGGTTTCTTAATAAGCGTGGGGGGGTACCCCCCCCCCGACGGGGGTCAACCTCGCCTCGTCTGCGCCGCGACGGGGTCGAAGCGCCTTCGGCTTGTGGTGGCTGCCCGCGACGGGGGTCGTTGCGGGGCTGTCGGCGGGGGTGGCGCCCCGCCGACGCTTATTGAGAAACTCTTAGCAAGGAGAACCCAGCAGCTTTGCAGCCTGCAGCCAAGACGCCGAAGTAAGGACCGCCTTGAGAGCTCAGGAGGGGCTCTTGTGACTTGTGTTCCGGCTGTTGCTGACGTGACTTGATCGCACGCTCTCTGGCTTGTTCCTGTTGAGGCGAACGCAGCAGCTGTGCAGCCTGCAGCCAAGACGCGAGGCAAAGGACCGCCCTTTTGAGCTCCAGCAGGGGCTCGGCTGTGCGGGCCGCTCCTCTGGATTCACACGTCGTGGAGCCCGTCTGTGGCCCGGGCCCGCCGTGGCCAAAAAAGCCCCGTCGTTCCTTATGACTTGGCATCGCTCGGACGTGTGCATTTTTCCTTCGGCGAGGACCATCGAGGAACATCCTTGATCATTCGGCGAAGAAAAAACACCCACGAAACCGAAAAAAACACAGGGAATGGACGTCCGAGCGATGGCGAGATGATGCGTGCCTAATGGTAGTACCATGACTGTATGGCCGATGCGATGTGATCGCACGCTCTGCTCCGAGCTTCTCATGAAGCGTCGGGGGGGGCGTCACCCTCGCCGACAGCCCCACATCGACCCCCGCCGCGGGCAGCCACCGCGCGCCGAAGGCGCTCCGACCCCCGTCGCGGCGCGACGACGAGGCGAGGTTGACCCCCGTCGGGGGGGGGGGGTACCCCCCCCACGCTTATGAAGAATCCCAGGGCAGCTCTTTTCTGCAGAGGAGAACGCAGCAGCTGTGCAGCCGAATGTCCAACCAGCGCAGCAGGCGCACCATCGGGGAGCAGGCGCCAGAGGCGGCGACGCACGAGGCCCGCTGCTCGGGCCGACCTCCCGACCCTGGCCGATGTGCCGACGGTCCTTGGGCGAGGCCGCTCCTTCGGGCTCGGCGCCCAGGCATGCCCGCGCCGTGAAGACATCACGACGGGAGGTGTTCGTCGCCTTCGGCCTCCCGGGGGCCCTCGCCAGGCCTCGGGACCGTCCAAGAAACGACCCAGGATGAAAAGCAGGTCCCGGGAAAGGGGGGGTGCGCGCAGTGGCAGGAGGGGGAGGAGGAGGAGCAGGAGGAGGAGCAGGAGGAGGAGGAGGAGGAGGAGGATTGAAAATCTCAGGACGTAGCATGTCTGGGCGGGCACCCCTGCGCCGCAGGCGGCGCCCTGGCCACCGCCAGAGTGGGATCGCGCCCTGGGCTGGGCTGGGCGGCCGCGCGGCCAGCCGGGGAGCCACGCCACGGCCAGCCCGACCCTGAGGTCCGCGCTTGCGAAAAGCAGGGCGATCGCACGCACGAATCACGGGGGCATGGATTAGCGACGGGCCCCGCCTCCATGGGAACTCGCGGCTTTCCGCCGCCGAACGAGGCGGCACCGGCCGCACTTTTGGGGGAGGGCGCCTCCCCCGATGCATGGATTTTTGGCGACCGCGCGCCAAGTCCATGGAGCGCTCATCCATGTTTGCGCGCCCCCGAGGCAAGAGTTGAAGCAGCGCGGAGAATCACGACCGGAGCCCAGACCCCAATCTCTTTCTGCGGCATCTCTCGGGCCGGATCGACCTGTGGGGGTCCCAGGGGCCCGAGGCCGGGAGGCGAAAAAACGCCGAATGCGAAAGAATGCTGCAGCGCCGGGATCCCCTGGACATCGTCGGGGATCGCCGAAGGCGCCGCCCCCCCAGGACGAGAGGAAGCGGGGGGCGGGAAGGGGGGAAGGAAGGAGAGGATGGGCGGGAAGGGAGCGTGAGATTGGGGAGGAGGAGGAGGAGGGAGGGAGGGAGGAGGAGGAGGAGGAGGAGGAGGACGACGACGACGACGAGCACGATGACCCCAGGAGGAGGAGGAGGAGAAGGACGAGGACGAGCACGATGGAGGAGGAAGAGGAGGAGGACGAGGACGACGAGGACGAGCACGATGACCCCAGGAGGAAGAGGAGGAGGACGAGGACGAGGACGAGGACGAGGACGATGGGAGGAGGAAGAGGAGAAGGAGGAGGGGGAGGAGGAGGACGAGCACGATGGAGGCGGGAGCCCCGCCGAGGACCCGCTGGTGCTCACCATCGACCCCGCGGCCCCCAAGCTGTGCTTCTGGCAGCACGCTGGCGGCGCCAAGCCCGCCCTGCGGCCCGCGCAGGCCCGCCGGCGCCCCCTCTCGGAGAAGGTGGTTGAAGTCAAGCAGTGGCGAAGCGTCCTGGCTCGCCTACAGGCCCGCCAAAGAGTGTTCTGAGAACCTCGTGTGGTCTGCACGGGATTTTCTTGGGACATTTCTGGCGGGGACTGTCGTGTCTTACACATCGGGCTGATGTTCTAGGAACGCTGCTCCTGTTCTTAAAATTAAGTCGGGCACGCCCCTCTACAGGAGGAATATTCAAGAATAGTAAAAGACATAGTCTGGGGACGATTGTTTTTGATTACGTTTGCATATGTTTAGGGTATGTGTTTACTATTTTTTATCTTTCGTCGAAAATCCCCCTGTAGGAGGGCAGGCCCGACTTGAGTTTATGTTCTAGGAACACTGTTTCTGCTCTCGGAGCACTCCTGGGTTCGAGGAACACGCGCGCGGCAGAACACTTCGCGGCAGGCCCGCCGGCGCCCCCTCTCGGAGCAGGAAGAGAGTACTCCAGATTTCGTAATAAAAGGGAGGGGGTCTGGACCTTCCAAGACAAGCCATTTCAGACCTCCCCCGTGGGAGGACCCTCCCAAACATCGTCCCCAGACCCCTCCAGGCCCTCCAAGATAGCCTGGAAGAGACCCCCCCCGAAATGAGACCCCCCTCCCTTCATTACGAAATCTGGAGCACATGCCGGTCACTGAGAACAGGGCGGGTTCCCAGACCCCCTCGAGGGATGAGAAAATCATGGCCGCACCGGTTGTTTCATCATCTTCAGCATTTGGGGACCCTCGCGGGGCCTCGGGACCGTCGAATAACGACTCGGGATGAGAATCAGGAGGGAAAAAAACACACAGACACAATTAATCGTCGATCCCCCAGAAAATATGGAAAAATATGGGAAGTGGGGGGGAAGACGAAAATCCAAAAAGTATGGGAAAATATGGGGAATAGTTTTGTTTGTGTGTATTTATTTGTGTGTCCCAGGGCCCCTTCAGAGAAGCCGGTCCCGGGGAATGGTTCGAGACCTCGGGGGTCTGGGTTCGCGTCGTGCTGACTGGCGGCGACCCCACCGCCGGCGTTCAACGTTGAACTCCGCCGGCGACCCAGAATCGGTCGATGTTGAAGGATTCAGTGTCTCGGAATCGGCCGATCGTTCAAGGTTGAACGGTCCCCGCGGTGTCAGAAAGCAACGCCGAAGTCGTCACAGCACGAACCTGCTGCAGGTATTTTTGGATGCCCAAGTCCCAATCTACTGTGGGCGCCTTCCTGCCTCAGCATGCAGCCACGCCCAGAGGTGGGTGGGGGGAGGTGGGAGGGCTTCTTAGAAGCACCGATGTGAGGCCGGCGCCTTCTAAGAAGCAGCCTGCTTCTGTGAAGCCCTCCCCGCTCCCCCCCACCCCCCTTTTGTGCGCACCACCAAAATATCAAAGTGGTCTTCCCGCGTCCTCGGGGGGCGGGCGGAGGCCCAAGCTACGTTGACTGCCTTCCTGCTTGCAGTGTCTACCCGCTTCTTCCGACCGTCGGGCACCGATATCGCCACGGTGGGGCGCGTTGGTGAGGGAATGTGCCCAGGATGTTTCGGACCTTGGGTTCTTGATCCAATGACTCCTCATCCAGTGCCCTCGCCGTACCCCTTGCCTCGCATTTGCCTTGTTGGGCTTCCTGGGAGGCCCTGGTCACCACGGCTGGCTTCGCCTCAAAATTCTGGTCAGCATGCACCCCGGGAGAAGAGGTCCGGGGAGCAGCGGCATCCGTAATTGCCTTTCTGTTCCCCAACCCTCGCAGCACTCGCGCGCGCGGGCGGCACTTCTCAGCGGATGAGAGACCGTAAGTGCCAGGAAGTTGGATGCACATCACGCGGCCAGGCTGGGCAAGAGCTGGATACACATGTTGCCGCATGTGTTTCTAGCGGTCGGCCCTTCCATGGGCCGGTGCGCTGGGTTTCTGCGTGTGTTTCAGCGCGCGGCCTCCACATGTTCCGCACATGAGTCCAGGCTTGTGTGTATCCAGGTTCTTGTTCCTCCCATGTCATGTTAGCCAGCGTGGACCCCAAACAGGATGGTTCTAGTAGCGTGTGGTTTGCAATCGATGTTGCGCAATAGAAGTGGTGCAATCTATGTTGCGCAATGCATGTTGTGCGAGATATGGCGTGCAATTAATCACTTGCTCAACTTGAAACTGTCCTCTCCACTGTTCGTGCAAACATCCCACCCTCCCACCCGCAACTTGGTCGCAAAACCTCTGAAGACCGTGACGGTAGGTACCAAATGGCACTTGGCAACGACACCGACGCCGATGATGACAGCGACAACGACGACGACGACGCCGCCGACACCGACTACGACGACACCGACGACGTCTTCAACGACTTCGACGATGACAACGACGACGACGACGACACCGACGACGACGACGACGACACAGACGACGACGCCGACGACGACGACGACGACGCCGACGACGACGGCAACGACGAGGGAGGAGGGAGGACGACGACGGCGACAACGACGACAACGACGAGGGAGGAGGGAGGACGGCGACGACGCGAACGACGAAGGAGGAGGGAGGACGGCGACGCCGACGACGACACCGACGAGGGAGGAGGGAAGACGACGACGACGACGAGGGAGGAGGAAGGACGACCACGGCGACAACGACGACGGAAACGACGACGACGCCAAAGAGGACGACGACGACGACGACGAGGAAAGACAGGACACTCGATTCGAAAATCCTTCCGAAACCTAAGGTTTTTGATGGATTTCGGCATGCGCGCGCGACGACTCGCGCGCGTGCATTTCGTCGTGTTTGTTGCAGGCGATTCTCCCGACGGCACGCGCGCAAGGGCGTTCGAACGATTTCGACATGCGCGCGCGAAGCCCGTTTGTTTTTTGTTTCTTTCGGAAATACTAAAAAAAACTTATGATGTTCGTAAGATTTCACAAGACCGCACGCGCAATCTGTTTTAGAAATCAATGTTGCGGAACCATGCGTTTTCGTATGTGTTTTTGAAGACTCGATTTTGAAATCCTTCCGAAACCTACGTTTTTGAAGGATTCCGGCATGCGCGCGCGACGACGCGCGCGTGTGCACTTCGTCTCGTTTTTGTGCAATGGATTCTTGGACATTTATGATGCTTGATAAACGAGTGTGCGCACACAGTATTTTTTTGCAGAGGATGGCGGGGTGGGTCGAGACCGTCCTGGCTGGGATAGTATGCATTCCAAGGTCGTGTTTTGCATCGGTCCCGGGGGTCTTTAACCCCGGGGGGAGGGGGAAGGGTGGTATAACTTATTGCGAAGGCCTTACGGCCGGTTGCCGCCGACTCTGGAGGGCGACCCATGCGTTCTCGTATGTGGCGGGGGGGGCCTCTTGGGGCTTCCTGGGGGCCTCTTGGGGGTCTCGTGGTGGTCTCTTGGGGGCATCTTGGGGGTCTGTTGGGCGCGGCTCGGGCGTGGCTCGGGCGCGGCTCGGGCGCGGTCCGAGCGCGGCTCGGGCGCGGCTCGGGCGCGGTTCGGCGGCGGCTCGGGCGGCTCGGGCGCGGCCCCGAAACAATAAAGAATCCCTACGTGCAGTACTTGCGGGGGGGGCGTCGTATCTGAGTGGCGCCCCCCCCCCGGGACCCCCCCCGGGACCCCCCCGCTACCCCCTCCCGGCGGGGGAGGGATCAAAGGGAAGGGGCTTCCCTTCGACTCAAATACGACGTTGCTGAAGTTCATTTGGGCTGGCGCGCTTGAGCAGGGGCCCCTGCTGGGAAAGAGGACGGGAGTGGCGACGGGCCCACGGAAAGGGAGGCGCAAGGAAGGGGGACGACAGAGACGACGACCAACGAACAACGGGGATGACGTCTCGAACGGAAAAGCCCCTCACACACGCCGACAGGGTCGGCGGATTTTGTAGAAAGGAGAATAGATATGGTGCATTATGTGTGGTGCGATCTATGGTGTGCAAACCACTTTGACTGTCTTGAAGCTGTCCTCTCCATTGCTCGTGCAAACATCCCACCCACCCACCCGCAACTTGGTTTGCAAAACCTGTTCAGACCGACTACCGCGACACCGACGACAACGACTAGGACGACACCGACGACGTCCCCGACGACTTCGACGACGACAACGACGCCGACGCCGACGAAGACGAAGACGACGACGACGACGACGCCAACGAAGGCGACGACGAGGGAGGAAGGACGACGACGGCGACAACGACGACAACGACGACAACGACGAGGGAGGAGGGAGGACGGCGACGACGCGAACGACGACGAAGGAGGAAGGACGGCGACGCCGACGACGACAACGACGAGGGAGGAGGGAAGACGACGACGACAACGACGACGACGACGGCGACGAAATAGGAGGGACGACGACGAGACGCCGACGACGGACGACGACGACGACGAGGGAGGAGGAGGAAGGACGACCACGGCGACAACGACGACGGAAACGACCACGACGCCAAAGAGGACGACGACGACGAACACGAGGAAAGACAAAGGACGACGTGGGCGACGACGACGACGACGACGCGGGAGGAGGGAGGACGGCGACGACGACGACGACGACGACGCAAGAGCGCGCGCGCACGCTTTTGTTGAAAATCCGTGTTGCGAAACCTTCGGTTTTTGTATGTTTTTTGGACGCGCGATTTCGAAATCCTTCCGAAACAGATGGGTTTTGAAGGATTTCGGCGTACGCGCGCGACGACGCGCGCGTCTGCACTTCGTCCCATTTGTTGCAGAGGATTCTCGCGATGGCACACGCGCAAGGGCGTTCGACAGATTTCGACATGCGCGCGCGCGAAGCCCGTTTGGTAGCATTTTGTGAAAATCTTGAAGAACCAATGGTTTTCTTTTGATTTCGCAAGAGCTCGCGCGGAAGCTTTTTTAGCAAATCAGTGTTGCGAAACCCTTTGTTTTGGTATGTTTTTGGAAACTCGATTGCGAAATCCTTCCGGCACCGAAGGTTTTTGAAGGATTCTGGCATGCGCGCGCGACGACGCGCGCGTGCGCACTTCGTCCCATTTTTTGCAAGAGATTCGTGAAAAAAAGTGCTATGTTGGAGCAAAAAATGTCACCGCATAGTGTTTTTTACAAGGGAACCGCAGGGGGGGGGGGGGATACCGGCTTGGCTGGGATGGCATGAATTCATATTTAGGATGGACATGTGGTCAGAATCATATGTGATTTACAGCACGCGCGGGGGAGTCGATAAGTCCGGGGGGGGTAGAATCTATTAGTTTTTTAGAAAGGAGAATCCACTCTGCTGAACTGGAAGTCGTCATCTCCACTGCTCGCGCAAACATCCCACCCACCCACCCACAACTTGGTTTGCACAACCTGTTAAGACCGACTACGACGACAACGACTAGGACGACACCGACGACGTCTCCGACGACTTCGACGACGACAACGACGCCGCCGCCGACGACGACGAAGACGACGACGACGCCAACGAAGGCGACGACGAGGGAGGAGGAAGGACGACGACGGCGACAACGACGACAACGACGACAACGACGAGGGAGGAGGGAAGACGGCGGCGACGCGAACGACGACGAAGGAGGAAGGACGGCGACGCCGACGACGACAACGACGAGGAGAGGAAAGACGACGACGACAACGACGACGACGACGGCGACGAAATAGGAAGGACGACGACGAGACGCCGACGACGGACGACGACGACGACGTGGGAGGAGGAGGAAGGACGACCACGGCGACAACGACGACGGAAACGACCACGACGCCAAAGACGACGACGACGACGACGAACACGAGAAAAGACAGAGGACGACGTAGGCGACGACGACAATTACGACGCGGGAGGAGGGAGGACGGCGACGACGACGACGTCGACGCAAGAGCGCGCGCGCACGCTTTTGTTGAAAATCCGTGTTGCGAAACCTTCGGTTTTTGTATGTTTTTTGGCCGGACGATTTTGAAATCCTTCCGAAACCGATGGGTTTTGAAGGTTTCCGGCATACGCCCGCGACGACGCGCGCGCCTGCACTTCGTCTCATTTTTTGCAGAGGATTCTCGCGACGGCACACGCGCAAGGGCGTTCGACAGATTTCGACATGCGCGCGCGCGAAGCCCGTGTGGTAGCATTTGGTGAAAATCTTGAAAGACCTATGGTTTTCTTAAGATTTCGCAAGAGCTCGCGCGGAATCTTTTTCAGCAAATCAGCGTTGCGAAACCATATGTTTTGTATGTTTTTTGGGAAACTCGATTGCGAAATCCTTCCAGCACCGAAGGTTTTTGAAGGATTTCGGCATGCGCGCGCGACGACGCGCGCGTGTGCACTTCGTCCCATTCGTTGCAAGGGACTCGTGAACAAGTGCTATGTTAGAACAAAAAATGTCACCGCATAGTGTGTTTATACCGGGGAACCTCAGAGGGGGGAGCCCGGCCTGGCTGGGATGGTACGATTTCATATGTATGCGCAGAATTTATATATGAAACTATTTTATCCCAGGGGGAAGCGATAAGTCCAGGGGGGTAGAGTCTATTCTTTTTTAAGAAAGGAGAATATATGTTGTGCAACCGACGTGGTGCAATCTGTGTATATGTATTGTGCAATTTACCCATGCTCGCAGTGAGTTGTCCCACCCGCAACTTGGTTTGCAAAACCCAATCGACGGCGATTGCGATGAGTACTTGGCGAGGTTGGTGCATCTCTGCCGCCCGCTAGCCCGCGCATGCTCGCGCGCGCAGCGGCTAGCTAGTGCGGCGCGACCGGCGCGGCCGCGGTGGCGCTGACCGCTGGGCACCTCCCAGCGGGCACGGTGACTAGGGCGGGCGCGGTATCACGGCGACGCCGACTACGGTAGATATGGTGATGAGGGTAGCGATGATGGTGACCATGGTGGCGATGACGACGGCGGCACGGCCAGTCACGGCGCCAATGTTGATCACGCCCGCCGATAACAAAAACGATGTCCTAGCGTCGATGACGAATGTTTTGGAAGGAGTTCGACATGCGCGCGCGGCCGATGCGCGCGACCGGCCCGCGTGGTGTCATTTGACACGGATCGTGCCCCCCTGCCCGCGCGCAAGGGCGTCTGGATGAGTTCGGCATGCGGCGCGAGAGGCCTGTTTTGCAGAATTTGATGGCGTCGTTGCGAAAAAACACGACGTCGAGGGTTTTGGGAGGCCGATACGACACGCGACAAGACAGCCTCCAGGTCGGACCGGGGCGGCCCCAAGAGACGCCCAAAGAGAGCCCCCGACAGGTCAGAAATTTTCCATACATTCGATTGGAGATGAGCGATTTGTGCCTTCCTGCTCTTTGGCGCTTTGTATGGATCCATGGGGCTTCGAGATAACCCCGGGGGGGCCCCAAACGAGCCCCCAGGTGGACCCTGGAGCGGCCCGAGGCAGTCCTGGGGGCCCCATAAGAGGATTTGTATCCAGCGTATTTCGCGAAGGCTCGTAGCCCTGGATGAACAGATCCAGCGGGACCTGTGAAGGACCGTGATTTGGGGAGCACGGGTCCAGCGCAATCTGTGAGAGGTCGTAGCCTTTGAAGCGAGGGGCCAACGTAATTTACGAGGGGTCGTGGCCCTAAGAGCGCGGATCCACGCAACTATCGGGGGAGGAGCGCGGACCCAAGGTAATTTACGAGGGATCGTGGCCCTGGGAGCGCGGATGGTTTTTGTAATTTAGAATGGCGGCCCTGAGAGCGTGGACACAGCTAACCTTACCAGGGAACGTGGCCATGGGTCGTGGCCTGGGTTCCACAGATCCTGCGTATGTTACAGTGGTTCGGCGGCAAGAATCGCCGTGCACCCTGGGGTCGCGCTCTGCGTGCGCTTTGGGGGAGCGCAGATGCAAGTATTACGTGCGCTATTCCACAACACAACACGAAGGCCAATGCAGCATGAGTGTTCACAGAGGTCTCCTTTGGGTGGCATCGGGACGCGCTCTGGCTAGGATGACGGAGGGTGTCGCGCGGTGGCGTCGAAGGCGCCCGCATTCTGTATCAGACATGTTGGAGATCTAATATCTTCTAGCCCCCGATCCTAACTCCACCTCCACACACGCTCGACTCCCACAGCGAGCCCCACCAACCCCTGGTCCAGAGCCCGTTTTGACCAGGTTCTCGAGGTCAATCCAGCCGTGGCGACGAGGGCCTCCTGGGAGACAAATCAAACAAATGTTCGAGTCCTTGAGGGCCCCCCTCCTCATCCTCCTCCTCCTCCTCCTTCGCCTCCCTCCGAAATCATCAGCAGCAGCAGCAACAGCAGCATCATCAGCATCGTCAGCATCAATCTCATCAGCCGCATCATCATTAACATCAGTTTCATTATCACTATCCGTATCATCATCATCACGGTCATCAACCTCACCACCATCATCAGCAGCAGCAGCATCATCAACATCATCACCATCATCATCATCATCAGCAGCATCATCAGCATGATCCGTAGCCATGTTGCCTCAAGCCATTCTGGCTCAAGGCCGCCGCAAAGTAGTCTCGAGAGTCCCCGCGATATCGCAGCCAAGGGTGGGCTGGGCGTGCAGCACACGGTCATGGGCGGCACAGGCACAGGCGGCAGCAAGTGGAAGCCGGCGGCAAAGGGCAGATCTCCGAGTCCGCCACCAGTGGAGTAGCGCAGCAGCAGTCCGCCGCCGCGCCGCATCACTAACGACAGCTCGGACCCTCCGGCTCCTGTGGGCGTGGCGCCCGAGAACGTCACCAGAAGGGCGAAGATTTGCTATACCCTCTTTGCCCTCTTCGCCTTCTGGTTCGACGCCGCGCGTTTTGACATGGACGGTGACGCGAATTTCGACGCAGCGGACGTGCAGGCCATGATGAACGGCGGGATGAAAGAGTTAAAGCTCAACTTCTCGCGGCCAGTCACGAGCAAACGGGTGAAGAAGGCGCGCCAGAAGAGGATCGAGGCGAAGAGGAGGCAGAGAGCAGCTGGCGAGGAAGAGGGCGAGAGGGCGCACCAGGAGGAGATCGTCCGTATGAACAAGGAGGCGGGCGGCGTAACGGGGACTGTGGCGAACATCTTCGAGCACGGTGCCCACAGCGTAAGGAGGCTGGGTGAGAAGGGCGACGCCATATTCGACGCTGACGTCGAGGAGGAGGCTCAGGAGGACGAGATCATGGACAACCTAAGGCAGATCTGGCCCTGGTTCACCATCATTGAGGTGCTCATGTGCCTCGGCTTCTAGGGCGTGGACGCGTTCAACACGAGGGCCTACTCAGTACTGCAGTTCGGCACGGTTATCACAGACGACCTTAAAGTGATAGAGTACGTGAAAAAAGACCAGAACGAGCAGCTGTTCCTGGACGATTGCAAGAAAGAGTGCAGCGCTGCCGACGAGGCGTGCGTGGGCATCGACTGGAAGAATGGGCCGTGGCCTGAGTGCTTCCTGCTGAGCTCGCTGCCGAACAGAGATCCCAATTATCTGCTCTGCCAGAACGACGCGTGGGGCTGGCGTATGTACATGAAGAGGACGTGTACGCCCTTCAACATGTTCTTCATGAAGAGAGACGTGGAGAGCATCTGGCCCAGGTTCACCACCCTGGACGCCTACAGCTACTGCCATGAGGGCTACGACATCAGCTTCCTGTGGAGGTGGTGGAGCTACCAGTTCACGCATGGCAGCATCACTCACGTTGGCGCCAACTGCTTCATGTTGATCATGCTCGGCGTTCCCTTGGAGGGCTGGCAGGGAACAGGCATGTTCGCTGCCATGTGGACCGTCGGGGTTCTCCGCGGTGCCTTCTGCCGGGTGCTCCTCGACCCCTGCACCACCACGTGCGGCGCATCCTGAGGATGTTGCTCCCTGCTCGGCATGCACGTCGCAGACCTGATTCAGACTCGGGGCGGCACGAAGTGGCGCTCTGGGACGATATTTGCCTTGCTTCTGGTCGCCGGTGCGGAGTCGGCCGCCTTCCTGGGCTTCGCGTGCCGAGGAAAGCCATATGAAGCCCACTGTGCACGTTGGTGGGCTCGTCGTTGGGCTCCTCATCGGCTTCACGGGCAACCGCAACGACCGCTGAAAGAGTTGGGAATGCGTGTGCTCCGCGATGGCCTGGGTCGTGACAGGCATCCTCGTCGTCGGGAGCAGCTACTTCTGGTTCTTCTTGCACGAGCACCCCAGCATCTGCAGCTTGTGGAGGCCGCCTCTTGGCAAGACTATGTAGCGCCCCTCTTGCTGGATCGGGTATGTGTGCATCGGAGATAGTGGCAACCACTGTCCGCTGATAGACGACATTACCGATTACGCAAGGAACGGCGGCTCCGAAGCGAACACGTTGAGGCAGTGCGTCATGTGCGATCCAAGGGAATTCGTGGAGGGCTGGTACAGCGACACCTACGAGGTCACCACCGCGGGGGTGACCACTGAACACTACAAGTATTGCCCGACGGAGTCGTCGCGCAACTACTGCACCTTCGCCACTGGCGACAGCCTCGACCTGCGGTACCCTCCGACCAAGAGCGCGCACCAGCTGACTGACACGCCTGCGCCGTCACCTGCACCGACGCCTCAGCCGACGCCGACCTGAGAGGTTGACCCGCAGGCCACTCTGCCCTGAGCGCCGCAACAATTTGTCGGCGTCATTTTTCTCCAGCGGGAGGGGCTGTTTCAGGAGGGGAAAAACACACAGACACAATTAATCGGCGATTCCCCAGAAAATATGGGAAAATATGGGAAGTGGGGGGGAAGACAAAAACCCAGAAAATATAGGAAAATATGGGGGATATGTTTGTTTGCGTGTATTTACTTGTTTGTCCTGGGGCCCCTTCACTGTTGTGGAAGAGCCGGGGGGGAGGTGCGATTTGGAAAAAAAAGGTCGGCGCGGCGGCGCGCAGGAAAGGGGCAGGGTCCGGGCGGCCCTCTAAAACGCCCCCCCGTCCACCCCTCCGCTGAGAGGGTGAGGGGCGCGAAGTTTGTTTGGATGCCGATTCCTGCCAGGTGGCCCGTCGCCTTCTTTGAGTTAACGGGCGAAGAACGGTATAAGATAAACTTTTTCGCCGTCGGGGGCGCCTGTCCCTGGGCGGCTGGAAAGTTTATACCCCTACGGTGCCACCGTGAGGGTATAAACTTTCCAGCCGTCCAGGGGCAGGCGTCCCCGACGGCGAAAAAGTTTATTCTATACCGTTCTTCGCCCGTTAATTGAGTGCCACACCCCTCATCCGGGCCCCTCTGCTCACCGCCAGGTATTTACCGAACAGTGCTGATTCGTATGGTTCGTATCTTTTCGCCCGGGGAGCCCGCAGGCGCGCTGTAAAATCAGACGCGCTCTGGGCCTCTAGCTGGTTGGTCTCACCCAGAGTCGTCTCGCCCAGATACCGAGCGGAGAGAGATGATGAGAGAGATGAGAAACAGCGGAGAAGGAAGAGCGGGTGAATGAGGGTCTATATTCTCGGTCTTGACAAAGTTGTGAGAAGGTGTAGCTGCATCTTTGTGCGGCTGCTTACGGTGCCAGCGCGCCTTCTGCAGGGGCGGTGTTTAGTGTATTGGTCTGCATCCATGACCGTCAGGGTTGCCCCACCCGCTTTTCTTCTAAGGACTCTCCTCCTCCTCCTCCTCCTCCTCCTCAAAACGTTTCCTCAGATTGCCCGACAATTTCCTCAGTTTGCCAGGCGTTGTGACCATGCGAGTCTAGCTGCCTCCTGCAGTATACTGCTGTACCAAGCCATCTCGAAGGACTGGGGAGTTTGTTCTCTTGCCCCTGGACGGGCGTCACTCGTTCTTGTTCTTGTCCTCCCTCCTCCCTTTCCTCCCCCTCCTTCCTCTCTCACCATACTCATCATACTCATCACCATCGACACCCATGTTGGTACATGGGGAGGGCTTCGAACGGGGGAGGGGTCGCCTAGAATCGAATAAACAGATCGCCAACATGGATCCATCCTTGCGCGCCCCCGGAAGAGGCGCCTGGCTTCAGCAGGGGGCTTCCGAGCGAGCCCCGGCCGCGCACCTCACGAGCGGAGGGGCCGGAGGCAAACCCCACCCGGCGAGCAGCGCCCTCGGAGAGAGCACGGCCGGAGGCCGCCCGAGGGCGCGTCGCCGCTCCGGGCAGCTCGCGGGAGCCAGCAGCTCTTCCTCGAGAACGGGAGGACCCCATACAGTGAGCGGCCTCGAATGAGAGACGCCTGCTCTGCAAGATCCTGACGTGGGTCCCCTCCCCCACAGGTCGGCAACGCGCAGAGGGAGGTAGGGGGAGGGGGGAAGGCTTCTTAGAAGCGACCCTGCTTCTTAGAAGGCGCGGGCCTTCTCTATAGACGTAAGGCCGAGGCCTTCTAAGAAGCAGGGTGCTTCTAAGAGGCCTTCCCCCCTCCCCCTACCCCCTTTTGCGCGGCGCCAAACAGGGTCAGGGCTCCTTTTGTTGCTAATCGGCTTTGCTCCGGCGAGGCCGTCCTCGCAGCCTCGCAGCTTGCACGCATGTATCGGTTTGCTTCGCATGTCGTTTCCTGCTGCTGCTTCTCATCTGCCGACTCTGCTCAGAAGACTGCGCAGTTGTCCACCGCCACAAAAGCGAGTTGTGACTGATGAGCTTTATGCCGTTCGGTAACTTACCTGCCTCGCTGGGGGCCATGTGGGAGGAGGGATGGTAGTGATGACAAGGTCGTCGTATGTGGGGGGGTGGAAGCCCGAACATGGTCTTGCTCCAGCGCGGCTGCAGGATCGCTCCTTCGTTTTTAATTTTGTTTGACTGCACATGTGTCATTTTGCGTCGCATGTCGTTTCCTGTTGTTGCTTCTCATTTGCCAGTTTTGTTCAGAAGATTGCGCAGTTGCCCATCGCCACAAGAGCGAGTGTCATTGATGAGCTGTATGCCGTTCGGTCATGTTCCTGCACCGCTGGGGGCAAGTTAATCAGCAACATCATCAGCATCATCACCAGCATCATTATCACCATCATCGGCATCGTCCTTCTCATCGTCAGCATCAGCATCATCATCTTCGTCATCGTTATCATCACCATCGTCATCGGCATTATCATCGACATCATCATCGTCATCGTCGCGGTCATCTTTCTTTACATCACCAAAATCGCCATGACCATCAACCTCACCACCATCATCATCAGCAGCACCAGCATCATCACCATCATCAGCAGCAGCATCGCAACAGCACCATCGTCATCATCATCGTACTCCTATTCATAATCACCAGCATCATCATTATCGTCGTCATCATCATCATCATCATGATCAGCATCGTCGTCATCATCGTCATCCTTATCGTCAGCATTATCAGCATCAGGAGCATCGTCATCGGCATCACCGTCATCACCGTCATCTCCGTCATCAACATCATCATCATCATCATCATCAGCATCATCAGTATCAGCATCCTCATCATCCTCATCATCATCCTCATCTTCATCATCATCAGCAGCATAATCATCCTCACCGTCATCCTCACAGTCATCATCCTCATCAGCAGCAGCAGCATCATCACCATCCGCAGCGGCATCATCGTCATCAGCACCATTATCGTCGTCGTCGTCATCGTCATCAGCACCAGCATCAGCACCAGCATCGTCATCGTCTCCCCCGCGGCGCGCTCCAGGTCAAGGCCGACTCCCACAGGGAGCCGCTGCTGGTGTGGGCGTCGTGGGCTCTGGACCTGGTGCTGCCCCGCGCCGCGGGCGCCGAGGCGCGCCCACGCTTGAACGAAGGATTGCAAAAAAAACGAAGGATTGCAAAAAAACTAATGGTTGTTTTTGCAATCCTTCGTTTTTGCAACCCTTCGTTCGAAGGATTGGAAAAAAACGAAGGATTGCAATCCTTCGTTCTCGGAGCCCAGGCCTCCCCGATCGGGTCGGAGGCTCGCGCCGCGTCGCCGATCCCACTACCACCCCCCCGAGATGCGGCTGCACGTGGGCCGGTGCAGCGGTGCTGCGCGGCACGGGCCTCCGAGCTCGGCTCGGGGAGGCCTCTCGGGCACGAGGGGTGGCGCCGGGTGGGCGGGTCCTTCGAAGGAGAGCGGAGGGTCTCCCAGGTGGCACGGGCCCTCCTCCTCCCCCCCTCCTCCTCCTCATCCTCCCCCTCCTCCTCCTCCTCCTCCTCCTCCTCCTCCTCCTCCTCCTCCTCCTCCTCCTCCTCCTCCTCCTCTTCCCCCTCCTCCTCCTCCCTACCCCCTCCTTCCTCCCCACTCCTCCCTCCTCCTCCTCCTCCACCTTCTCCTCCCCCTCCGCCTCCTCCTCCTCCTCTTCCATTTGTTTGCCTTATAAGTAACTTCTCGCTGTCACACCCCGCGGCCAGTTTTGGGGCGAGCCATGCGTTTCGCCTCAGACTTCCTCATCAGTTATGCGTATGAAGCTTAAAAATTGGCAACAGTTTCCACAGATGGAGGGTGGGTGGTTTTTAAAATGTGGCTCTCGCCTTGGCGCCGCGCACATTCGTTCTAACAAGTTGCAAGAGTCTCACGGGTTGAGGGTAACCCGTTTTTTAATGTGGTTCTCGCCCTAGCGATGCGCGCATTCGTTTTAAGAATTTGCAGAGCTTCACGGATTGAGGGCGGCTCCTTTTCAAAACATTCGTTCCTAAAATTTGCAAGAGTTTCACGGATTCCCACGATCAGCGTACCAGAAAGTGCGTTTTGGAGGGGTTTGAGATTTTGTTGGTGCGACACTCACGTTAATTCGCGGTGTTGAAATCCCAAGAATGGCGTTCTGGCACGATCTAGGATCGTCAAGACGCAACAGTCAGGTTGATCCGTGGCGTTGGAATCCCGAGAACAATGTTTTGGCATGTTTCCGGGTCTTCAAACGGTTGTCTTCCAACGAGGCAGATCCCTCAATGGAAATGAACCGTTGAGGGGCCTATGAAGAGGGGGCTTGGAGGAAGGGTGTATTCCAACATCGTTGATGGCTCTTGGGTTTACACTGGTCCCCCTCCTCCTCCCCCTCCTCCTCCTCCTCCTCCTCCTCCTCCTCCTCCTCCTCCTCCTCCTCCTCCTCCCCCCGTCCTCCTCCTCCTTCTCCTCCTCCTCTCACTTTTTGACGTTCGTCGGACTTCACCAGTGGGGGCAGTAGCGTTTCTCGTGCATGGAAAAATAATGACAAGGCAACGAGGCAGACCTGACCGAGCAGCAGTAAGGAAGTACAGGGGCTGTTCATGTGCACAGTCTTCGTCACTGAATTCGGGCCTGTGGTGCCAGGTTCAACTCTGCTGTGTTTCCCCGCTCTGTCGACACCCCCACCACCGCGCCCCGGGCACCTTTATACCGCACGTGCCCGCCCGGTACCTTGGATGAGCCAGGCCAACTCTCAACCCGAATCCACGTACCTCAGACCAGTCGATGTCACGCTCCAGTCCCTCATCGAGTCCACGCTCTTATACATAATGTGCTCGTCATCCTGTCCCTCATATTTCTCCATGCCTTTGCTGCGAGGTCATCCCGACCTTCACACATACGCTTTCGTCAGCGGTGTCAGCGTTACCTTCAGAGCTTTCGAACAGGGGGGCTGCTGCTTCATTGGGGTTAACTCCCACGTTTCCGCCAGCCTCAGAGCCTTCAGGATCAATCTTTTGCAGCCGTCTTTCAGGCGTTTCTCCTGATCCTCCCGCGTCTGCTTCGACGATTGGAAGGTCTTCAACTTCCTGCACGGGCCTGACGAGGTGGACGGGGAGCTATGCCAGTGCCACCTAGAATGCCCAAGGGCACTTGACGTACGAGCTGGACCGCCAAAAGGCAATACTTCGCTCGCCTACTGGCACGACACCACTTCCTCGGCTAATAGGAGACTCAGTCTACTACACTATCGGCCTCTTCTGTCTCCTTGGCGTCTGATGTTGCTCCTTTTTGGTCTCATGGATCCCGCAATGCGTGGCACTCATAGTCCAGAACAACTTCCTCAGACAGTTCGACGCCGTGGTGCCGAATGATTAGGAAGAGCCTGAACCAGGTCGGCTGGGCATCGTGCACCTCCGGGGCCCGGATGGCGCCATGTGTATCGCCGCACTATATTTTCCATCGGGCCCAGGCGCCAGGAGCGCAAGACAGGCGTCACGACGAAAGCTCACGGATACGATGGCGAACCAGCCAGGTGAGTTTTGGTCAGTCATGGGTGACTTCAATTGGAATGCAAAAGCGGAAGATCGCATCAATATTATCACGTCACAGTTGTCAGGCCATCGTGCCGCCGATGTGGAGCACCAACGGTCTCAAACAGTTGCCGGTCCAGGCAGTCTCCGGAAGTTGGCGCAACCGATGTTTATTGCGAAGGCCTTACGGCCGTTGCCGCCGACCCTGAAGATGACGAAAGACAACACGAGGGGGGGGGCAGGAGGAAGAGGAGGAGGAGGCGGAAGGGAGTAGGAGGAGGAAGGGTGAAGGGGGAGGAGGAGGAGGCCTTATGGAGGTTGGTTGGGATCTCGTGGTTGACCTCTCGGGGGCGTCTGGAAGGCAATTTGAGGCCTCTTGGGTGCCGTTGTGGGGCCTCTTGGGGCCTCTTTTGGGCCTCTTGGGGCTTCAGGAGGCCGTCTTCGGCGCATCTTGGGGGCGTCTTGGCCCCGCTCGGGGGCCTCTTGGGGCCTTTTGGGGGCCTCTTGGGGCTTCCCGGGGGCCTCTTAGGGCGGAAGTCTCGAATTCTCGGTTCCTCGTCCCCCTCTTGGCCGTTTCTTGGGCCCGTCTTGGGGCCCTATTGGGCCGTCTTGGGCGCCTCTTAGGCTGTCCTGGGGCCTTCTTGGGCCGTCTTGGGGCCCTCTTGTAGGCCTCTTGGGGCGCTCTTGGGGGCCTCTTGGGGGCCTCTTGGGCCGTCTTGGAGTGTCGGAAAGCCGAAAAGGCGAGAAGGCCAAAATCATTCAAAAACCGATGTAAAATTGACGATTTTGGCGCCTGGGGCCCTCTTGGGTGTGCTCTTGGGGCTCTCTTGGAGCGTCTTGAGGGCCTCTTGGGCCGTCTTCGGGCCGTCTTGGGCGTCTTGGGGCCATCGTTCGTCGAGTCGAGGCCCTCTTGTACCCTTTTGGGGGTGTCTTCTGTCGCTCTTGGCTCGTCTTGAAGCTTTTCTGAGCTCCGGGACCCCCCGGGGAGGATGCGTATCTGGGTGGCGACCCCCCCGGCGACCCCCGCCCCCCACCCTCCCCCCCCCCCGGCGGGGAGGGTAGGGAGGGGCTTCGCCACGACTCAACTACGAAGTTGCTCAATGTCGCTTTGGCTCGCGCGCTCAAGGAGACGGGGAACGACGAAGACGACGAGGGACAACGGAGACGGAGACGACGAGGACACGACGGAGACGACGACGACGACGACGACGACGACGACGACGACGACGACGACGACGACGACGACGGTGATCCACGCAAGACGACGACACCGGGATGCGTCTTCCACACGCCGACAGGGTCGGCGGATTTTCTTTTCGGACGATGTTTTTTTAGCCGCCAGCAGATACTACAAGAGGTGCAATCTCGGACAATCGACCAATCTCTGTTGGTCACACGCGACCCTCCTCTGACGGGCGCCCGCCTCTCCTGAGCGATTCGATTACCCGCCGACCGGATTACGCTAAACGCGATTCGAGGGAGTACCACGACATGATCAAGCGCAAAGCAGCCGACGGAGTTGTGTTGGACCCTCTGAGCAAATTGAGGGTGATCAAAGTTGCCATGCACACAGTTCCCGCCCACATTGTAGAGCCAAAATGTGGACAGGGTTTCCTCGACGGGTTGGGCGCAGCATCATCAGCGGCAACGGCGTTCTCTACGATTGCGGCGATCTGGAAAGGCACGGCCACTACACCAGCCAGAGTTCGGCGTCGCCTGCCAGAGGCCTGGGCTGTCTTTGCGGCCCCAGCCGGCGCATCCACGGCTAACGTTCTCCAGCGCCAGATTGACAAGGCAATGTAAGTGAGGAAGAGCAAAGTGCTGAGCAACGTGCGCAAGCTGCAGAACGAGGCTGGCGGCGCGGACGACGACGAGCGCCAACGACGCACGAGACAGAATTCCATCAGCCAACGGCCTGCAAGACTCACCCGCGGCACCGCGAATGCCAGGGCTCATCTCCCGGAGGCCGACGAGGGGAAAGCGGCCACAGACACGGGCACCATCGCAGAGCACCTCGCGGGCCACTGCTCCACGGTCTTCCGTGACAAGCCCGTGGACGAGGTCAAGTCCGCAGACGCGCGAACGGCAATGTAGCGGCGATGCAGACATCGGCATTGTAGGTGAGGCTGGTGCGTGGCCAAGCCGACTGCAGGAGATCGTGGCTCGCGCCTTCCTGCAGTTCGCCACGCCGTTGTCGCTCGATGCCTTCGCGCATACGTGAGACGCAGGAGAGCGTGGCTCGTGACCTCCTACGACCTGTTGCGCGCGAGCTCGGCGCCACAAGAATCAGCACAGAATCAGCGCACCCCCTCTCAGAAGGAACGGGCTCCCGTCCGCTGCGCCCTTCCGGGCTGCTTGCGGCCACGCGGCTTCGGTCGATTTCTGTTTTGCTGTCGACGAATCGGTTGCTTTTCGGCTGCGCTGTCGCCTCGCCGTGGACGGCGGTGTGGAGAGGGGGCGAGCCGTTAACCGACATCGCCGTTAGAGCGCGGCCCTGGCGGGGTCGAAGTGCAGGGCCGGCGTGCGCGGAGCGCGGGCCTCGGCGGCCGGCGCCTCGAGAGGGGTCCCGAGAGTGTGCTCGGCGGAGAGGCCGCGTTCGCGACGGACACATCAAGAGGTCGCTCCGGAGGGCCGGAGACGCACGCCCAGGATTTGCGGAACCTCCTCTTCCTCCTCGTCCTTTCCTCCTCCTCCTCCTCCTCCTCCTCCTCCTCCTCCTCCTCCTCCTCCTCCTCCTCCTCCTCCTCCTCCTCCCCGTCCTCCTCCTCCTCCTCTCCTCCTCTCCTCCTCCTCGCTCCTCCTCCTCCTCCCCCTCCCCCTCTCTCCTCCTCCTCCTCCTCCTCCTCCTCCTCCTCCTCCTCCTCCTCCTCCTCCTCCTCCTCCCCTCCCCTCTCCTCCTCCCCCCCCCCTCCTCTCCTCCTCCTCCTCCTCCCTCTCCTCCTCCTCCTCCTCCTCCTCCTCCTCCTCCTCCCCTCCTCCTCCTCCTCCTCCTCCTCCTCCTCCTCCTCCTCCTCCTCCTCCTCCTCTCCTAACCCTCCCCCTCCTCCTCCTCTTCCTCCTCCTCCTCCTCCTCCTCCTCTTCCTCCTCTCCCTCCGCCCATGATTCTCGGGAGCTTCGGGGCGGGGGTCAATGCAAACGGGGGTCAGCCAGAGCGCCCGATCTTGCAGGATCCCCGCGGGGCCAAGGCCGCACTGGCCCGGGCTTGGGCGCAGGATCTTGCAGGATCCTTCGCGTTGACCCAGGTTTGGGCGCAGGATCTGGCAGGATTCGGCAAGGCCTGACTGACCCGGGTCAGGATTGACGCGGGCCAGAAGATTCCCGAGATTTGCTGGGATACTTTTTCTCCAGGCTCGGCGGAACCTCGGGCCGCTCAACGCCCACGTGCTCTGGGAGGTTGGGAGACAACACGAGGCGGGGATGATCCCGGGAGATGCGGCCCACGGCGCGTTCAACGAGGCACCTTTGCGAGGCCCTTCGACGCGAGGCCAGCCTAACCCAAAAAAATGACGCCAGCCTCCTTTGAATCGTCATCGCCATAAGTGAGATCGAACAAGCAAAGGAGATCGAACAACGTCGTATTTTCGTCGAAGGGAAGCCCCTTCCGATCGCCCCTTCCCCGCCGGAAGGGGGGGGAGGGCCCCGGTGGGGGAGATTTCCGGGGGTCGTTTACCGGAACAGCTAGCGAGAAGGGACGCCCGAGGAGAGCAGATATCCCGACCAGTTGGTATTCGACCGTTGTTGATCACGAGTGCTGACAATATTGTGGTCGCGAATGCATACCGACTGTGGCGGGGGACCATCGTGGCACCTGGCACTGCCAAGGAGTAGCGCGGCTCTTTACAAGGCAGATTTTTGTTGGCGAATGTCATAGACATTGAGCGGGCGGCCGGGCTTGCCTGTCTGGACGAGGATGATGCCGCCGTAATCTTCTTTGATTTTACGGCAGCGTGCCCGTCCATTTCTGGACGGTGCTTGCTGGCCACTGCGCAGGCTGCGTTTTCCCCAGCAACTGCGACGGAGGTCTTGGCATCTTCCTACCGTATGACTATGGGAACGCTCCTCCTGCACCCCCAGCTTCATGGTCATGTACCATCAGTGACTGGAGTCCGCTACGGGCGCCCATTGCCCCCTCTTCTGCCCACATTTGCGTCAGACAACCTGGTTCGGATTTCGGGATACAGATCTCCGAATTCGACAGCGCGGGCTTTCGCGAATGGCACTGCATTTTGACTTGACAAGGACCAGCCGCACGCGTACTGGCCAGAGGTTTGAAAAACACACAGGCCAACGATGGAGACGCTGTTCGGCCCACTGCCTCGCTACGCGAGCGGGATCGTCGTCGCCCGAGTCGCTGGCATCGGGGAAACCGACCAGGCTTGCCCACAAGGCCAAATCAGCCTGGGGAACAGGAGGAGGAGAGCGCTCCCGCTCCGCCCACCCTGCCCCCACCCCCGAACCACTCCCCGCCCCAGAGATATCGGGGAGCGGCAAATGAACCGTCTCGCAGAACCTCCCCTTGCGCAGCAAAATTGGAGGGCCTAAAAAGAGGCCAGACGTTTGGGGTGGCAGCCCTTGAGCAAATTCTGCAGCCGATAGTACCTGAAACATTTGACCAGAGCGCCCGCTCGGCGCCTAAACGGCTTGCATTCCTCGGGAAGCCCTTGGCTACGCTGCACGGCATAAGCACCACATACCGAGCAGAACAGCACAGGCCCAGCACGGCGCACAGCATGCTGAGCAGGACTTTCCAATCATTTCAATTGTCGCAACACAGATCGGGACTTCGCCAACCTGAGGCAGATCATGCAGCGAAATCTCCTGTCCATCAACGCGACAGCGGGATCGAATCGAGAATGCGGCCTAGGAGGACCCAACACACCTTCGATGGTGCTGATCGCCCTACCAAGCACAACCGGCCGGGCATCTGGGGCCGTGACCGAACCGATCTTAGCCGCGACGCGAGTGCAAAATTGAGCAACCATTTACACCGCCTGGATGGAAGACTTGCGTGCTGCGCGCAAGCCTTCTTTATCCGAATGCAGAGAGGCCCCTACCCTGGCAGACTCGTCAGCCTTGGCGTTCCCGAAACGTTGCCCAGGTGCGATGCGCCCCTCCGCCACCGCCGAGAGCGGTGCGCGGGCTTTGACATGAGTGGCCCCCACCGCCTCCAGACACCGATCCGCCGCCAACCTCCAGACTTCCTTCCAGAAGATCGCCAGCGGGTCGCTGGCAGATCTGCCAGCTCCAAACCCTTGGCGCCATACATCTACCAGCGGCTTGCAATCGGTGTAAAACTTCAGCTGCGCACCCATATACCTCAACGCCATGAGGAAGCTGAACAGCTCCGCAGCAGGCACAGACTGGAAAAGGGACGGAAGCGGCCCATGCAATCTGGCGACCTCGCGCCAAGAAACATTGAGAGAGCATAATCCCCGACCACATCGCCACAGACGGTTGTGCCGCCCGTGCAAGCCCGAGCCATCACTGAACACATGCACATCGAGGAGCAGGTCGCCAGTCCGCAAGGTCCAGACAACTCGCTCTTCAAGGCACGGGCTTGGCAGTAGCCAGGACGGGTCAGGGACTAGAAACCTGGTCCAGATCAGAGACAAATCAGCGGCCGACTGGGCCAGCTCTATCATCTGGCCAGCCAACGGGTGGTCTGCTTTATATTCGCGGCGAAAAGACTCATGAGCGGGGCATCCGTAAACGGTGCCACGTCGCGCCCCGTGACCGCCCCGCCAGCACCGCAGAGCCTCTCCGGAACCAGAAACCTCCCGCAAACAAGCACCTCAGGAGCCCCCGGTGCTTGGGGGTCCAGTCAGGGCCTCTAGGGGAAGGGAAGGGAGGGACCTCAGGGGCTCCAGGAGCGGAGGGCGAGGACAGAGCGAGGCCCATGACGGGTGCTTAGCCAAGACCTGTTGCCAAATCCAGCGCCCAGTGGCCTCGTCAGCCAACTTGCCTCCTTCCCTGGGCGGAATCTCCTCTGTCGAGAGGGGCCCGCGGAGAGTTTGCCAGCGGAGCGGGTTGACTAGCTTCCATCCCAAACGGATCACAGCGCCCACAGAGGCCGAGGCAGGCCCCCGAATGTCGGACCACACTCTGGATTCTGGGATAACCGAAAGACGAGCCCATGCCCCGCTCAGAAGGCGCGCCATGTCAGATCTTGGCGCCCAACCGCCCCAGAGCGCCTGCAGCCGCAAGTAGATCGGCCCACGGTTGCACCCGAAAGCGGGGTCGACCTGGCGGCCTGCAAGCATCAGGGCGCCTGAAAACGCATCCCGCACGAGCCAACTGCCTGGCCTTGAGCAGCCGCGCGTTGCTGATCCCGTGGACCCCGACCGCCCAGAGCATCCCAGGCGTGAGGCCCGTCTGGACCAATTTGCCTGTCTTGCCCCCCGCTTTGGCCAGCCGCTTGTAACGTGGGACCCTAGAGCCCATCTTCCCGAGACGCTGCGCCCGAACCGCATGAGGGATTCGGAGGCCGCCTCCGAAATCCAGTCCAAGATTCCGAACAGATCTGGTAAGGAAGCGAGCCGAGCGGGGTTCAATCTGACGAACAGCGCGCCGAATATCTTGACCAACAACCGTCTGGTGCTGTTTGGGCAGGGAGATGGTGAGGCCGCACTTGGCCAATTCAGCCGCGAGTAGATCCTCCGCCCCTTTCAGATTGTAAGCCACGCCCCAGGCATCACCCACCCTCTGCAACTGCAAACCGTCAACAACAATCGCCAAATCGACAGATGGGCACCGAGCAACAACCAAATCAGCAGGGGAAAGAAGCACTAGACGCAAGAGGGAAGTCGCACGACTGCAGCTGGCAACGATCGCACGATTCGTCGAGACGGTCTCGGTCGCAATCATTTCGAACACCACCATCCGATCAAGAGCGTACGTTGCCAGCAAAAATTGCAGAGTCTTGCCGTGGAACATGTGCTTCTTGGCGCAGGCCGCGAGCACAAGGAGGGGAACATGTTCGTATGCCTTGATGAGATCAAGTAGCTTGGGCCCCGCTGCTCTGCCCAGATCCCTGGCCAACTCCGCCTTGAAACTCTGCTGCCACACACACACACACACACACACACACACATACACACACACAGATGTCGCAAGAAGCTCCAGAATCGCCGAACCAGTAGCCCCGAGGATGGTCCCGCCCCCACGGCCCAGCGACTTTCCAGCGGGCCCAGCGGGGCCACATCCGAATCGGGGATGGGAAGGCCCCGACGGGGCGACCCCCCCCTTCAGGCGGAGGTTTTGGCAGCAGAGCAATAAGCAACAGCGCCCAGCACTTGGGCACGTAGCACAGCCTCTGCATTTGCACCCAGATGCCCAGGAAAACCTCTACAGCGCTGTCGTCCAAGAAGGACCAGTGCCGAGAGTGTAAGCCGCAGACGCCGGCGGCCGTGTGCGTGCTGTACGCCCTAGTGAGTGCGAGGAGGTCCTCGTGCGCGGGGGGCTCTAGCTCGGGCTCGTCCTCGCGACAGCTGAAGTCAGGATCGGGAAACTCCAGACCGACGCCCCAGTGCTTATGCCAGCCTTGAGCCCGAGCTCCAGCCTCAGCCAAAATCCCAAGAGGAGCTCCATCGGGCCCAGCGTAACGAGTCATCCCAGACGCGACCCATTTGGGCACCTCCTGGGTGAACCTGTGGCCCAGGCGGGCCCCTCCAGACAGGGCATCCGTGACCCACTCCCTCCAAGCTCGGGCCCGCTCAGAGGCCGCATGAGACTCATGCTCCTGGGCCCACTTGCGGACCTGCCAGATCAGCTCATTGAGCTCGGCTTCGCTGGACGGGTTGACGGCGGCAATGCGCAGCCTCCAAGACCCCCAATGTTTGCAATCGATGAACGTGGCTTGGTAGCCCACCAAATTCTTCAACGGGACCCCAGACTGCTGCATCCCCCCCAAGGTGGGCCGAGGCCCATGCCAATGGAACAGGATACCCTGGAGCCGTCTCTCCGGCACGCGCCGCATCCTGCTCTCGCTTATGGCCTTGGGATGAGTCGAGGTTGGAGGGCCTAGCAGAAGGACCTGGACCACCTAGGGGGCGCCTCCACGACCTCGGCATTTAGGTTCAGCATCAACTTGCAGAACCCGAGCGAGTGCCAATTCAGCCTTCTGAACCCATTGGGAGGTGACAGTATCCAGTGTATCCTTGGAAATCGGGCCCTGGGTCAGCACTCCCTGAAGGTCCCCCCAATCAAGGGGCCGAGGTTCGCAACCAATTGGTCTGTGCAGCGGAAGGGCCGATGGTTTCTTCAGCTTGGATACCATCATCTGCCTAGGTTCTCCACGCATGCGCAAGACAACAGGACGGCGAGGCCGCGTGCACGTCGCCCAAGTCGCCACATAGCAGCTGCCGACGAAGGGCTTGAGCGAGTTAGACATCACAAAATAGCCGATGTGGGATCGAAAGGTTCCTAGCTGGCATGTCCAGTTGGCCGCATCCGACACCGCATCAGCCTGCA